ACTCCAATCAGTCTTATGTTATTTTTCTTTGCATCATCTAGCAGCTGCTGGATTGATTTCTCGTGGTCCCTGAAAATTTTAAGGAATTTTTTCTTTTCCTGGTCACTGCTTGCAATCTTATCTTCTATATCTGAAATTCTGTCTTCACATTGGCTCATTCTGCCTCACAGACTTTCAATGGAGTTTTTAATCTCCTGGAAATCTGTTTGCATCTATGTTGGGATTCCATCATGTTCCTCAGCTCCTCTGTTTTTTTATTTGTGTCCTCTTTAGATTTATTAATCATGTCTTGCACTATGGGCACAATCTTTGCTGTTACATGAGAAATTATTTCTGATTTCATTTTTTCCAGATCCTCTTTCATTGCTAGTTCAGGGAGTCCAGATGGTTGAGTATCAGAGTGTTCCATCTCATCTCCCTTTGGGGTTGTTGTAGGTGATCTGGAAGTCTGGTTCTGTGGCTTACCTGTCTTCTCATTTTGTCACAGGTGGCAGGGGGTGTGTTCCTGACGCCCATGTGGCTCACCTCCTCTGTGCTCTGAGCCATGGCACACCGACCCGGAAGCCTCCTCTATGCTGGGAGCTGTGGGATGCCTACCCAGAAGCCTCCTCTATGCTGGGAGCCACAGGACCACTACCCAGAAGCCTCCTCTACACTGGGAGCCGCGGCACGCTTACTCGGAAGCCTGCTTCTGCCTGGGAGCCATGGCATGCCAACCCAGAAGCCCCCTCTAAGCTGGGAGCTGCGGCACACCTACCCGGAAGCCTCCTCCTGCCTGCAAACCGTGGCACACCAACCTGGAAGTCTCCTCTGGGCTGGGAGCTATGGCATGCCGACCCAGAAGCCCCCTCCATGCAGGCTTTTTACTTTTTAAAACACTTCATCTACTGCTCCTAAGTGAAGCACAATGTTCTTTTTCTGTAAGTCATACTCTGTAGTGAGAGCAGCAATTTCCATGCAACCTTGAATGTGATGCCAAATTAGGGGTCCGATGTGGGGGCTGGTCTGAGCCTGGCTGCTTCCTTTGCATGAAACCTCAGCCAAAGGACGGGAAGCAGGAGCAGATAAATCCACGCTGGTCCCCAAAACCTCCAGCAGGTTTTTATTCTCGATCACCCACCAGCCACAACACACATCAAATAAGAAAAGTAAAAGGAAATACTGACTTGTCTGGAAGCCTCTGAATTTACAATTTTATTTTCACCTTGGGAAAGGTTTCTAGCAAGGAGTACAGAGGGGTCAATCTGTGGCCTGATGACATCCATCAGATGGGGGCCCTGGCTCCAACACCCAGTGGGGGGTGGGGGCGGTGCATGGCCCCCAGCACCCTGCAACCTCCATCAAGCAGGTCCAAGTCAGCACCCCATGCCAAAAGGAAAAAGAGCAGATGAATTGCCCTATATGGTAGGAGCACTGTGTGGTTTTACCTTCTGATCCACTTCAGACTTGCAAACATCACACCGTCCCATCTAAGGGCCAGCTCTGCTCCCTTTGAAGAGCACCTGCCCCTTTCAGATCTTCAAACATGTGCTACTTTTGTCACCTGTGCTGGCGATTCTTGGGGGACAGAGGGTATGGGGAGCCTACTCTGGCCCGGGAGGGGTTGCGGGGAGGGATGCATGTGAAAGTAGGGGTCCTCCCATGAAGGGCACACGGTAGGGGTAGGAACGTATTTGAAATGCATGCCACATAAAATGGGTTTCATTTTTACTTTATTAAAGGGGAGTAGGCAATTTTCATAAAATACAGTAGATGAGTTAGCAATGCCAAAAAAGAAAAAAGAAAAAAAGAGGCCGCACCTTTGTCACTAGTCTGCGTTGCAGCTTCGTGATTAGTAACTCAGTGTGGTTTGTCATTTGTAGCACTATTCAGTAAATTTGTAACTGGCAAAGTTAGGGATTACGAATCACCACACATGTGCTACACCCAAGGCCAGATCCTAAATACCTCATAAAAAATCATAACTTTGTGAAGTGCATTAGTGTTGACAAAACCACTTTTGTAAATGTTTTCTCCAACATCAAATGTGCATGAGAAAGGGCTGGGGATTTAGCTTCAGTGGTGCTGTGCCTGCCTTGTCAGCACAAGGTCCTGAGTTCAATCCCCTGTACCAGAAAAAAACACACACACACACACAAAATGTGCGTAAGAAAAAGCAGAAACCCTGCCCTAATCACAGAAAGGGGCACCTTGCTTCACACTGGGAAGGACAGACTTGTTAAAGCTCTGGTGGAATGGAGTCACTCAGGGCTTGGCTTGGAAGAGGACTAACAGTTTCATGCTCCGTAGGCAAAGTGCCCTAACACTGTTTCCCCTCACCATTCTGCCATATTGGCACTTCTCTGAGAAATCATTATCCCAGAGAAGGGGGAGATCATCATCATTCCTGCCCTAGAGGAAGCTGAAATTTCCACAGCTCACAACCTTTAACAAGAAACCTCAGTGGGCCTGCACTTTGAGCAGTCCTAGCTCAATAGGGTTCCCAGGAAGGAAGGATGGTGGAGGACAGTGTCCAGAGCTTGCCCAGGAGGGAGGCATTAGGCTGGCAATGGGGTCATCAGTCAGCTCCAACTCAGACACCAGGAGGGTGTGGCCGGGGGCCTGGCCCAGACACAGGTCAGACCTCAGCGGACTCCTTCCCATAGCCTCCACTGGGAAACTTCTCAAGTCTCCTATAGGATCTGCAAACTCCACTGATTCCTACTCCAAGCCTCCAGCCTGTGGACATGAAAGACACGATTCCACATTCTTTGTTACTTCCTTTGTACTAGCATTGGTCCTTGGGTTTCTTCAGAGGCATCTGCCCGCCTTTTGCAGCTCTCTGGGGTCAGGGTGGAGGCTGTCCCCGAGCTTCTCATCCTCCTGCTACATTCCTCACCATGGCCTTTTTCATCTTAGGAAAAGCCTAACGGCAGACAGGAGATCACAGCAGACAGTGGATTCTGACTGCAGTCCTTCAGCAGTGGGGGTCAGATGTCCCAAGTCCCTTTCACCAGGGAGATCAATTCTTTAAGTCCAGGTTAATTACAAACCAGTAGACAAGAATAGTTCTTTCTGCTTTGGCCATTAACACTGCTCCTAAGTCACACAAAGGAAAAACCACCTTATCTCCTTGTCCCTCCCAAAGAAAGTGACCTTCCTCAGCTACTTGTCCCAGTGGATATGCACACCCACCGATCCTCTGCATCTGTGAGTGCATGAATTTGTTATCAGATTTCCACAGTTCAAGAGAGTGCCTTGATGAAAGCACTGCCCAGGACGATGAGAATGCTGACTGTCAGAACAGACACTGAATGAGCAGGGAGGCCATGCTGAGGCTTGGCAACACGGGGTGGATATATTTGGAGGGGAAGAGGGAGAGCCTCTACTTTCATACTATGGAAGATTAACCACAAAAGAAGAGGAGCAGGCCTGGGAAACCCCAGGCTTCTGTCTGGGGAGCTCAGTGTAGAGCGGCTTCCCACACTGATTCCACTCAGGACACAGCGGGAGGAGGGCAAGGGGCAAAGCCAGGATGCCAAATGATGTCCTTCCTGGGACGGAGGCATACTCTCAGAGGGATGAGGTGATAGCACAAAACTGGAAACCAGTTATTACTCAAGACATTTATTACAAATGTCACGAACATATTCATAAAGTAAAATTAGTTTAAAAAAACAGAGCAAGTGAGAAAACAGGAAAAGCCAGGGCTTCAATATTACACCTAAACATAGGCAGATGCCATTTGTATGAATAAGTAGAATTAACTACATTCTTAAAATAGTTTTAGTGCATTGCATTTTTTTTAGAAAAGGGACACACCCTCACCCCAAGAAAAGGTTCCTGCAACACTGAACAGTTTGTGTGACCATCTGAAAGGGACCACCTGTCTGCTACTGACCCCCAATCAACAATCAAGATCTCGTGTGTTGTAGACGACAGCTGTCCCCTAAACACTACCAGGAACTGGGAACAACCCAGCACTCTACTTCCTGCAGAAGAAAGCAGATGGGCTGTTCCCCCTGTGGGACAGTGCCTCTTGTGCCTGAGGACCTGTGACAGAGTAACAGTCAGACTTCAATCCCATAGTTTTGGTATTAAGATTAAATTAAACATTAATGTTTTCTTCCAAAACATAAACTAAATCACCTCTCAATGCATTAAAAACAATGAGGTAGGCAAAAAAAAAAAACGTAGGTTGAATTTTTTTTTTTCTTCTGCAAGTGCAGACTGTGGTAAAACTGCTGTTGCACTTCTAGGTTTAAACAAAAATTAAACCTTTAACTGAGGCAGTGCTAATACTGTCACACAACAAAGTTCTGGCCATTATACAAAATGCACACATTTTCTTTATCTGTTTTTCCTTTTTTTTTTCTTTTTTAGAACCACCTGCACATGAGTTAGGCAAAACTTGGTACACAGTAAAATGACTGAGTTCTCGGCCAGGACCCACCCCCCCATATGCAAAGAAACAAAATGGGAACCATAACCCACCCCACCCACAAACCCATCCACAAAAAGTTATCCTAGTAACTGTCTTTCACATTTTATAAATATTAACTTCTTAAACCTGCACCTTCGTCTTTGTCCACATATTGTCACATTACAAAAAAGAAATGTCAATTAAATACATTGTTAATGTTACTATATTAAATCTGCTCTTTGCTTCGGCAAACTGCTCCTTACATCACTGCTTTTCACCCCTTTGTGCCACTGCCAACAAAGCCGATGGCTTGTGCGTCACCGCCACCTCAGATGCCCACAGGACAGAGTCTCGCAGAGACAGGAATTCTGGAGCCACGGGAGAGGCATGCGCTCTGCTATGATGCTAGCCCAACACTTCTAGCACCTGTGGGAGATCGGAGGAGCACCAGCGGCGATGCAGCCTGGGTTTATTTTTGAGTAAGGAAAAGAAGAGAACGGGGATGAACTGCCAAGGAAGGGGGGCTAACGCACGAGGCCTGTGCACAGCTGTCCCAGTGGCACCGAGTGGCTCCAAGATCCAGTTGCAAGGAATTCCAAGTTCTCAGGATCTTGAAGACTCTGGAGTCGGTAATGCCCAATGGCGCCGCTTTACCAGCTCAGGAGAGACGTCCTGCCCAAGGTCATAAAGTAGACCTGACTGCTGCCACCAGAGCGTACGGAGGCGAAGAATACCTGCAAGGTTCGCAGGAGAGAGAGAACGAACAGTGAGTGTCCGGTCTACGCATCTACACGTACACCGGACAGGCAGTGTCTAGCAAGTTCTTTCAGCATCCATCAAAACTGAGGAAATTCATCACCGAGCTCTATGGAAAAGAAACAACTGCTGAAAGGTAGTAGCAACTCAAAAGAAGCCCCAGGGAAACTTTACCTTGTCATTGCGTTCACACAGGAATTTGAGTCTTTGCGCCCTTTTGTGCATAAACACACCGTCTAGGTGACCGGTTTCCACGGACCGGATCTCTATGGCCTTCTCACCCCAGCCCATTGTCTGATTGGACCGGATGTATGCTTTTGGGGAGAGGAGAAACAGAAAGCGTCAAAAGAGGAGCTTATCTGCATGACATCCTAAAGCCCAGCTCCTGAGGACTTGTGTCTGTGGGGCCCAGTCCTAGTGTGGGAAGCAGGCATCTGAGCTGACTGTGAATTGAGTGCTCCCTCAGGAATTCATCATACCCTCCTCAGAGGTGACCATGAGGGCCAGTCATGACAGAGGTGGGAAGTGATAAGCAGACTGACTGGCAGCCTGGAGACCTCAGGCATCAGCCCCTAATCTTGACACGATGAGGGACTGCCCAGGAGTCTCCAGCTGTGACTGCTGCTCTCAAAGCTGACCTTCCTCCACCTTCTCTAAGTCCTTAGAAACATCTGTCTGGCGTTCTCTGGATGCCTTCAGGTTTACATGAGGGACTGTGATAATACTCTAAAAAGTATACACTAATTACTTGCACTTTGTTCTGAAATAGATGACCATTTCCATGTCTACAAGCTGACCTTCCAGATCTCCAGCAACCACTCTTAAGTGGCCAGAAGAAGGTCTGAGCATGCAAACCAGCATGATGGAGACGCAGCTGAGAGAAGCCCCAATCCCCACACCACCTCCCAGGGTTACACACCAACGGAGGTCGGCATCTCTCCCCACTGCAGGACCACGTCCTTCGTGATCCTGCCGTACGTGTTCACATAGACACCCTCGTCTTCATAGCACACCAGGAGTTCCATGCCATCTGTGTTGGGCAGGATGATGATTGCGTGGGGCTTGATGCTACACTGGATCTGAAGAAGAGAAACAGAGCACAGGAATGTGTTTGCCGCTGCTTCTAGCCCAGTGAAAGCTCAGTGAGAGGGTCTGAAAATGCAGTCCCTAGCCCTGGGGACATACATGGCAAACGTGTGACATTCTGGAGCCTGTGTGGTACAGTTTACAAGTCACACATTGCAGTGAGTCCCACTTCCTGGGCCCTGGGAACACATGGCAGGTGGCCCTCTGGAGAACCATGCCTGCCCCAGGGGGCTCTGCCTCAGCAACCACCCCTATCTGTCCCAAATAAGTCAGCAGGGGCCTAAGGCTGGAGGCGGGGGATAGAGCCAGCACAGTAGAGCTGCTGAGCATGAGACACTGCTCACACACTCATCCTTCCCCAGGGGGAAGTAAGCAAGTCCTGTTCACATTAGTTCACTAAGATAGCAGAGGAGAAGGCAAAACAAAATAAAGCCAGTCAACCAGCCATTCAGTGGGGGCTCTTTCTTACGTGTGTTGGTAGATAAATGTCATACACAGATCCTGAGTCCACATCCACAGCGTGGAAGCCTGCACAGGACCCGTAGATCACTTTCAGCCGCTGGCCCTCCTCGACAGTGAGGTCCACCAGCAAGGGCTTGTGCACCAGTTCTCCAAACGACTGCAGAGAGAAGCGAGACAGACACGTGAGAGAAGCAGAACTCTCCACATCTGGGGACCCAGGCGCACTGGCAATCAATGGGAGGAAAGTGCTCTACATAGCTCTGTGTCTATTGATCGGCACCTGGCAGATGTTTCCTCTAGTAGTTGCATCTGAAATTTCTCCTGCCTCGCCTAGGAATTCCACACTATCACCTACTGTCCTGTGTCTCGATCAGAGACACACGTGAAGTACAATGAGGTTGTCTGCAGCACAGTGCTCAACCACTGAAACACAGGAATGTGAAGTGACAGGTGTCACTCACTGAGAATCTGGCCAGTGCTGCCACCCTCATCACCATGTGAGCCAGAAAGACCCCCACTTCTGGTGACAGGCTGTGGCATCCTGTCCAGCCTCAGCTTCTCACTCCTTCCAGGACGGCAATGACACTGCACCGATTTCACTGCAATCATATTTGTGCAGGCAACTAGCACAAAGCCTGGCACACAAAGGACACCAGGCCAGACTGTGGGAGACAGTCTGCTTTTATAACAATTAGCCCCTTTATCCTGCTTCAGTGAGAAGTTGAGCAATAAACAATCCAAAAATGTAAATTTCCCAAGCAATAGAAACTTAACTCCAGTAAAACACATCAGAACTATTTTAATTAGAAGAAGCACTTGACATGAAGACTTCTTAATTTTTGCCCTGCACTAAAATGGGCCTTGGGTATTCTTAAGGTTGTGTGTCTAATATTAGAAATGATGTTACTAATTTATTTCTATCTAATGTCAGAGTAGTAGCTGTTTTGACTAAGACTTTCATAAAATTGTACTTAGCACAAACTCAAATTATAGAAGAATTTTGTTGCTGTTGTTTGAGACAGGGTCTCATTACATAGTTCAGGCTAGTCTCAAACTCACTATATAACCAGGCTGGCCTCTAATGCATAGTGATCCTCCTGCCTCAGCCTCCCACAAGTGCTGGGATTATAGGCATGTGGCACCATACCGAGCTATAAAAGTATTAAAAATGTACAGAGATAATAACTGCTAATTTTCTATAGTTTTTGTTTTTAAAGAGTAACTTTATTTAAATACAGTATATGCTAAAGACCATTAAGCTTACTAAATTATTTTATCCACAACTCTTAGAAACCTAACTATACCAGATGCAGACTTATGCCCAGATACCTAGAGTTTAACAAACAGAAATAGTCCCAATTTTAAAACAAAGCACTGATTCATTTATTTTCCCAAATCTCTGTACCTGCAAATGGTAAAATCATCTCATTTCAAACATTAGTTTGTATATTGTAACTACAGATTTTATTTACATAAAAATAGGACCAAATTATACATATTTTAAACTTCCTATTTCCATTTAATGTAAATGCACATTGCTTGTATCATTAACAATCTCTGTAATCTAAAATTTAGTACTCTACCAAATAGATACCCTTCAGAACTGCCTATTTTTGAATATTTTGTTACCAAAGGCACATTTACAATATGTTTAGATCTTTATACATACCTCTTTTTAAAGGTCTTTTTATTTTTTTTAATTTAAATTTTTTTTGTGGTACTCGGCATTGAACCTGGGACCTTAGCACTAAACTACATCCCCAGTCTTGTTTTTTATTTTGAGACAGGGTTTCACTAAGTCTAGGTTTGAACTTGTGATCCTCCTGTCTCAGCCTCAGAGTACTGGGATTACAGGCATGTTCCACCATGACCTGCTGAAGGTCTGCTTAGTAGTGCAGGGTGGAAACGGTGTTTTGTCTTTCCTGCTGCCACATTAGCAAGCTGATCATCTAAGGGCTTGGAAAACTGCTGAGGTGATTATCTTCCATCAGAATGGCCTGTTGTAGGGAAAAGCTATGTGCTACATTAATGCACAGCTTTAAACGGTCAATGTTAACTGTTCAGACTCTTTAGAACTGACCCCCAACCCTCTTGCAACCTGCAAAGCTGATGCAACTCTTCAATGCACTTGCGCATGTCGTTACCTTAAAGGCCATGAATTTGTGATATGGCTTAGGTGCCCATGCATAGACTTCCACAGAACTCTTCAAAGCAATCACCAGAAACTTGATTCTTTCATATTTTACTGAAGAAGAAAAAAAACAACAAATAAATAAAGGCAAGAGACACATGGAACTTTAAATTCTTTTAGTTGTCATCTCCAAACTTTATAAATATGTCTTCTATTGATTAATCCAAACCAGGGGAAAAGAAAATGCAGAGAGACTAAGCCACACACTTCCCTTTCCAATTCTTTCATGTGTCACCCACATCTCATTTCTCTACTGGATTCAATTCTAAAACTTGGGACATCATCAATGAATACTTTCACCCGTGTTCCTAATCTTAGGTTCCAAGCAGTATTTTTATTACCAAGGTCAACGCCAGGCACCCCACCCTAAAGTCTCACAGGCTCAGTCTCATTTCACAGAGCTAATGACACAATTCATCTGTGATGAGGCTTCAAAATCCTGCTGTGGCAAGAGGCCAAGAACTCCTCTGCAGTTTCCCCCTCATCCTGCAAGGGGCACGCACAAACTAAGGAACAAAGAAGGCCATGTCACAATGCTCCTAAGCTCCGGTTCTGTCGGTGGGTTAGAGGACCTATGCCCAAGTCACGGAGCGCTCTTGGCCATTCCCTGATGTACCCTGACCGCTGAGGTCTAGGGTTCTCCCTAATGTTCTACATTAGGAGATGCAACGGTGAAAACAATCTGCCCATTTCACAGCTGTTTTGGTTCTCTCTCATTCAGGAAACTGCTAAAAACTGGTATCCCTGACCACGAGTGACTCAGGATTCTGCTTCTAGAAATACTGGCTTCTATCAGGTTACATAACATCAAGCTACTACTGGATTCTTTGTGCATGAGAGGACTTCTTAACTTGATGGCTCTCTGTTAAATTCCAGATAGCGTCACTGATCAGAGAAACTGCGGACATTAAGAGACACAGGACTAGAAGAGGCTGTCCAAACCAACACTGTTTCCTAGCATTTTCTGAAATGATGGCAATGTACTCTATCTGCATTGCTAATACGACAGCTATGAGATGTACATGGCTGTTGGGTACTTGGAATGTACTAGGGCTACTGAGGAACTGACTTTTTAAGGTTCACTTAATTTTGATTGATTTAAATATACTTTTAAATACTCCTCTGTTCTTGGTGACAACCATAAAGATAATAAATGGATGGTATTCTGCACACTAATCTCCAGAAAATACCAATGACTCAATCTGGAATGACTCATCCTGTGAGATCAGCAGGTGTGAAATGGGGGCAGACTCTTTTCACAGCTGAAAAGATGCATCTCCATGTCTCTCCCAGTGCAAAATGTTAGGGAAACTCTAGAACTCAGCTTGTCCCCTAAGGAGAAGCCTGGTATAACCTAATCCTCCAGCCTCACTGTGCCCCTGTGGGAAACCCGCTTGCACAGGATCAGGCTTATCTGAAATGCTCACTACACTTAGCCTGGGATGATTTTAGTTATACTTCAACAAGTAAAAGTATTTCCCATGAACACAACACAGACAATCCTAATCTCAAAACGATACCGAGGAAATAGTATTACATTCCAGTCATCACTGAGAATCATTCTGATACTGTGGGGGCTCCTGGAATCATTATTAACCGTGGAGCTGGGGTTTGTAGATAAAGACTACATACACAAAAAAAGAGAACGTTAAGGACTATATGCATAATTACAGAGGAACTGATGATAATATGTACTTTCACAACAAACACTGGGGAAAAACCATGCAAACAGAGAGCAACATTCAATGAGTTCCTAATGTTAATTGGTACAGAGAGCCCTTTCTGGCCCATATATATCATCATTCCCATAAAACTTCTAATTCAGCTGGTCTGTTATTTCTCCTTTATTTCTAACATCAGTACCAGTATTTTACCATTTTTTCATATAAAACGAGAACTGACTGGGTCTCATTCCTGTGTGGTTTCCTTCATGGGCATCACCACATGCACACCCAGGGGAAACACTGGCCAGCTGGCCAGCCCGGGAACCAGCACACAGTATGGTGCACCCAGTCAGGAGTGACAGGTGGTGATGCTATGGGCCAAACTCCCATGAGGCCTAGAGGTGATCGCCCAGGACCCACTGTCCTATAAACAGAGACCGAGCTGGCGCTAAAGAAGGAACTGAGTCAGCTGGCATTCACTGGCAAGGTGTCCTCAAACAGGTCACTCTGAACTGAATCCTACACAGGAGATGTGGGGGTGCACTGAGAACAGAGTGAGCAGAGGGGACCAACTCTGCACAGTCTCACAGGCAACAGGGGCAGTGGGACAATGCCTGGAGGAGGTGTCAGGACCACAAGGCCTTGAAGGGGCCACACCTTTCAGAAACAGGGATATTATGACAAGCATCAAAAAACACATTGAGTTTTAAAATGAACCCTTCTGACCCACCCAGAACTCACCAACTTTATAGTGGACACATCCTTCCAAATCGCCCACAGTTGTCCACCCTTGCTTCTTCTCAACTTCTGGGTCATTGTGAAGTATTTTATTTCTTAACCAGGACAAATAATAGACACGTAACTTATCCTTTTTACCTAGCAAAACAAATATAAATATTTTACACAGGTACTTAAAAATAGGTATCATCATTAATAATAATAGAAATCAAAAGAAATTTCAGAAACGCTAACTCATTTCCCCTATGGAAATTATTTTCCATCAAAGTTTTCCTACAAACGCAATTTAAGCTATTCAGATGAACCTTTGAATCCCTACAGAATTATCAATGGTATCAGCATGATTAGAAGGAAAGGTTTTAAAAGCATAAAAAGACTTGCACTTATATGTCTGAGAATCATGTTGATGAACTAACAGCAATGCTGTGACGTTGTGAAATAGGTGTTGCCACCCTGAATCCTTGGGATCACAGTCTGTGACTTCCTATATGCTAGCGCCTGACTGTGGGACTGACCAGCTGGCAGCCCTTCTGTAGCGCCAAGACTGGAAGTGGGGATTTTTGGCTCCACTTCCAACCTCCAGGGAGTGCAGAGGGGCTGAAGCTTAAGCCCATTACTACTGGCCAAGTGATCATCAATCATGTCTATGGAATGAAGCCTTCCTGAAAGCTACAAAGACAGAGTCTGGATGAACTTGCAGACAGCAGAACAAGTGGAGGTGAGGGTAAGGCTCCACACCCTTCCCACACCAACACACTGTGCATCTCTTTAGCTGCATTCTTCAAAATGCCCTTTATGATTAAGCTATAAACACAATTCTCTGAGTTCTGTAAGCTGCTCTTGAATCCAAGCAGGGGAGTTGTGTGAAGCCCCATTTACAACCCGGTGGTCAGAACTCCCCAAGGCCTGGACTGATGTGGCGGGGAGGGACACTCAGCTGGTGTCTACCCTGCAGAATTAACTGCTTGCTCACTGCAGAGGAGAAATCGCCATACCTTTTAGTTCACACACAAAGTCTCCCATCTTGATTGTTATTGGGTGAAAGTATAGGAGAAATTAAGTTTTTTCTATATATAGTTCAAATAAACTCCTATACAACAACAAAACCAAAAGATTATAAGATATTGTCACATACGCTGCCACCTGACTCTCAAAACCATTTAGAGCAGCTGTGATCTCCCCTTGGACAGACGAATGCAAGGGTTAAAGCAGTCTGAATCTAGGGGAAAGCAAGTCACAAATTAAACAGGCGTGTCACTTGAACAGCTGACAAAGGATTCACATCTATGTAATAAACACCTATAAATCAAACAGAAAGAGAAATAACCCAACAGAAAAACTAGGAAAGCAAGGAGAATGAGTATTTTGCAAAAGAAGTTTATCTCATAGATAAATGAACAGGACCAGCAATATTGAATGCATATTAAAACTATAAATAGATATAATTCATACAACTAGGAGTGTCTAGAATTTAAAAACAAAATCAAAAGAAGGACAAGTGTAGTGCAACTGAAAACTTTATAAACTAGTGTTGAACTACCTTTAAAGTCTGGCATTATCTATTAAAGTGTATATGCACACCCTATATATGATCCAGTCAATACTTTCTATGCTAATATATATGTGTACACGCCCAGATAGATGAACAGAAATGTTCACTATAGCCCCTAACAGGAAACCACACAAATGTTTCTATCAACAGCAGAATGAGTAAAGAAATGTGGTAGAGTCACAAAGAGGAACCAGCTCTGCTACAAGCAACAGAAAACTGACATTGAGCAAAAGCAGCCACATATTCCCACCTAGAGGCTAAAGAGGAAAAGGTACGATCACATCAAGGTGTTAAGGATAAAAACTCTCAGGAAAACAGGGACAGAGGAACTGCCTCAGTGTGAGCTATGTGACACTTAAGAGCTAATATTGAAATGCTGAGAAGTGGATGCTTTCCCCTAGATCTCACAACTCCTACTAAACACTACATGGGTGCCCTGGCCAATGCACTTAAGAGAAGGAAATAAAATGTGTAAGGACTGGTAAGGATAAGTCTTTGTTTACAGAAGGTATAATTGTCTAGCAGAAAATACCAAAAAATGAGGGGGGACCCCTCTCTTGAAACTAGTAAGTGACTACAGTGAGCTTACAGGATACAAGCCTATTATACAAGAGTCAATCACTATGCTACAAACCAGCACAAAACAATTAAAATTTTAAATTTAAAACATCATTTATATTAACACAATAAAAGAAATAGGCATAAATCAAACAAAGTAGCGCTTTTCAATATAGTCAGGGAAAGCTACAAAGCTCTAATAAAAGATATCAAAGAACAACCAAAGAAATGGAGAGATATCCCAGGGTCATGGAGGGAAGATACCGCATTGTCAAGATGGCTAGTTCTTCTCAACTTCATGTGTACATTTAACCCAACCCCAATCAAAATCACAGCAAGCTATTTTGTGCATATCAATAAACTATTTACACAAAGCGGCAAAAAAACCAACATAATTAATACAAAACTGAAAAATGACAGTTCTTGAATTCAAGATTTACTACACATCTACAGTGATCAAGGCAGTGTGGTTATTAGCAAGAGAACAGACAAGCCGATCAGCGCAATAAAACAACCCAGAAACAGAGCTACACAAAGACAGAGAGCAAATCTCTGACAAAGAAGCAAAGGCGGCTCAATGAGAGATGGCATACTTTAACGCATACACTGACTTTTACTCTTTTATAAAAATCAATTGAAATGGCTCACAGACCCAAATCTAAAATGTAAAGTCATCAAGCTTCAGAAAATAGGAGGAAACCTAGGTGATCTTGAATTTGGCAATGGTTTTGGATAAAGCAAAAAAAATGCACAATTCATGGAAGAAAAAAACATCATTAATTTAAGCTCAGTTTCATTAAAATTAGAACATCTGTTCCTCAAAAGACACTTAGAGGCCACCGTACCACCGCCCCGAATGCCGAGGAGCAGAGCTGCCCCCAAGCGCAGAGGAGGTGAGCCATCTGGGCCTCTGTACCACCGCCCCCAGTGGCAAGGAGATGAGCCTTGCAGGCGTCAGCAGCATGTCCCCCACCATGAAATGAGAAGACTCATAAACAAGTCTCAAAACCAGACTTCCAGATCACCTAAAGCAACCCCAAAGGGAAAGGAGATGAAATAATCTGACACTAAAGCACCTGGACTTCCTGAACTGGCAATGAAAGAGGATCTGAAAATAATGAAATTAGAAGTAATTTCTCAGATAACAGCAAAGATTGTGCCCATACTGCAAGACATGATTAATACATCTAGAGAGGACACAGACAAAAAAAATAGAGGAGCTGAGGAATATGATGGAAACATAGGAAATGAATGGAATCCATAGAACACATGCAAATAGATTTCCAGGAGATGAAAAACTCCATTGAAAGTCTACACAACACGAAGAGCTAATATGAGGACAGAATTTCAGATATAGAGGATAAGATTGCAATTAGTGACCAGGAAAAGAAAAATTGCTTTAAAACTGTAAGGGACCATGAGAAATTGATCCAGCAGCTGCTAGACAATGCAAAGAAGAATAACATAAGACTGATTGGAGTCAATGAAGAAAGAGGAGAGAGTGCAGA